AAAAACTTGGAGGATATGGACTTCGCCGATGATATATGTCTGATTTCTCACAAACTGGAAGATATGCAAGTGAAAAGCAACAAGTTGGCAGAAGAAGCATCAAAGATAGGACTTCATTTCAGGTGAACATAGAGAAAACAGGGGTGATGAGGATTCTTGGCCAACAGCAACAGCAACAACAACAACAGACAACAATCAGCCAGCGTAAATGGGAGGAACCTGAAAGAAACAACCTCCTTTACCTACCGACCGACCTGGGAAGCATCGTTTCAACTACAGGCGGTCGGAACTGACGAGGATATCAAAGTAACATTCGGAAAAGCAAGACAAGCTTTCGTTACTCTCAAGTCTGTGTGGAGGTCAACAGCACTCGGCATGAAAAATAAGATCCGGATTTTCAACTCCAATGTAAAGTCAGTGCTACTATACGGATCAGAGACTTGGAGAATCATGAAGAGCATCTCAAACAAACTTCAGGCCTTCATTAACAGTTGTCTTCGCTCAATACTCAAGATCAGATGGCCAGCCAGAAAAGATCTGCAACAGGGATCTCTGGGAGCGAACCAACCAGGAACCGATTGTGCAAAAAATATGCAGTAAGAAATGGAAGTGGATTGGAGGCCATACTCTGAGAAAACAAACCATCTAGTGACATCGCTAGACAAGCCATCACTCAAGTGGAACCCGAAAGGGAAGCGGCGAGTTGGTCGTCAGTGCGAGGATGGGGTGACTTGGAGGAGGCCATGTGAAGAGGAGATGAAAGCATGTGGGCAGACTTGGAGCCAGGTGAAAACTCTAGCAGAGAACCGAGCGCAATGGAGACGCGCGACTGAAGCCCTATGTTTCTCTAGGAATTAAAGGAAATAATAATAATAATAATAATCAGTCATTACATAATAAGTGTGATTCCCAGCCTTGGCGCCTAAGAAATCTGATCCAGGTTATTTACCAACTCGCCCTAGTTAACACAGACACACAACATGTGGTGAGTGTATACCTCACTCCTGCAGATCTTTTCAAGTGGACAAATACAACAGATCAGTAGAAAATAACATAGACGACAGCGCTACGTTCCAACATTTCACTTCAGTAGTATCAACAATAAGAAACATGATAGTCTCTATTAACAGGCTCTGAAGAAACAAAATAAACATTTATGTAACCAAATCGGTGAAACAACACATATAGGTAGAGTATATCTATAAAATGTACCGGTAGTCGTAATATTAGACCAAAGAAGAAAACAAAACAAAAAAAACCAGTCCACTTTTAATTCGAAATTCCAAAACAATATCAACACAACACTCAACAAAGAACTGAACACAGCAATCTTTGAATATTCGCCCACACACTCCCACACACACACACACACACAAGAAGTAACAAATTCTACGCACATGACAAATGAGGTAGGTAATTAGATGATAATAAACAAGTGAATTCGAGTCAGCCTAGTTTAAAACTAACCAGTCAGACGAGTATGAAATAATTTATCGATCGAAATCAATATAAATCAAAACACAAAGAAACAGATGTCCTAGTAAAATTGTCTGTGTGTATGCATACATAATAGTCAGTTAGTTAACTGCTATTATTATGACCGCCTGCTCATTGTTCAACATTAATGAACATATACAAAGAAGGACCTTGGAAGTGTGTGTGTATGCATGTATGGATTGGATGATTAATCTATTTTGCTCTGTCTCCCTCTCATTATCATCATCATCGACATTATTGATTAGATGCTAGAAATTACAGACACGATAATCATAATAATAGAAATAACAAAATTCCAAAAAAATTTGAAAATTATCGATCGATAGGGTAAGAATTAATTCATAGGAAATCTATATAGGTATAACATAAGATTAAGTGATGTGAATGAAACAAATGACCTTGGAAAGCAACAACAACCAATCATATTGAAAAGACAGGATAGGGGGGCAGAGAGAGGATGAAACTGTATACCAAACCAATTCAGATTTGATTGAATAACTGAAGGCTAAATTAAAAAGCAAAGTTGTAGGGTTATGGGGGAGGGACGGCGTTGAAGAGAAAAAGCACATTTTCTTCAATGTTTAAAGCTGACTCATCATCATCAATCACCGTTATGATCAATCAAATCATGCCGACGAAAATCATACTGATTTCATGTGAAATTTATTTTGAATGTGACAGAAATTTCAGGTTTGAAGTAGGCTGCCAACCAGGGTAAAATACATTGAGGCGTATTTTTATCATCAAAAAGTGCAAGTGATGACAAAGCTGATTAGGTTTTTAGATTTAAATCGACTACTTTCATGATTAACTGGTAGTAACTATTTAGCAATTACGAAATACTAAGGGCAAATTCCATCTTAGTCGGGAACTCTTCATTGGTGTATATTCACGCTCCTGTAATAAATCAGATGAACTTCAGGATCTTCAGATGATTTATTTCATTTTTTGATTACATCTTGATTCCACACCGTATTTTTGGTACAAGTATGGGATTTTCAGCGTGGATATCGGTAGCCCAAATTTCGCAGGCCAACCATAGATATCAAGTGTGCGTCGGCGCGGGCTTGAACCTCGGACCATGTGCATCGTCGGCGAGAGTCCTAACCACTGTGCCACCGACGCACATATCACCATTTGGCCACAAGGGTTGTAGGTCAGTGGGCAAACAATTTCCAGCTGACGTTATGACCACTAGGAAGTTCAACTTGAGATATTTCGATTTCCTACAAACTTGGCAATCGAGTTTCAAGCCTACTCTACTCATTGGAAATTACCGCTGGGACGATTTCGTCAAAGTTCCAAATTGAAATTACAGCTGACAGAAAGCACTGTGCCGTGACAGTTACTAACGGTAATCATCATACCACATCACTACCAACCGACAGGAGATTGGAATCTAGGACCAGTGGGGCATCGTCTACTTTAGTGGACGCATGTTGACATACTCATGTTGAAATCTGTTAGTCCTGAACTTTACCTCCCACCTGCTATCTGTGGGTGTATAATGCCGAAGGGTCTCGGAATAAGGATGTGACAGACTTCCGATTAGTTTCCTAGCTGATGCTGATTAGTGGTGAAGGTCACACAAAATTCAATAACTTGAATAAATTTCTAAGAGTAAATAAACAAAGTCATGAGTAATAGATGTTTTTCAACTGGTCAAGAGTATTTATTACTTGTTTTTAGGTTAATTTGTATTTCCCCTTGATTATGTTTCAACCGAAATGATCTCCTGACATGCCGGCTCCTGGTACGAAGCCTTCCACGATGCCTAAGCACAAATGTGAAATTATTTCGATTGATGTAATGGCTAACAGTTGTATCCAGGATGCAGATTTCGTCCTATTTTAGATCTGTTAGCTGGATGTGCCTGCACTCACTTAGTGAGTGATAGTATTCCCCTACACTGAGATTCGGACGCATCTCCCATCTTTACAAACGTCAAAGTAACGTGCACTATTAGGCCACGAGAACCGTCTTTTGTCCAGCGGGTATGAGTTAAATTTATTTGGTTAATTTTGTTGAGCCAGAATTCTCGGTTACTGGATTCCACTGCTAGTCATTTACCAACCAAAATAACTTAACGAGTATTTATTAGTGATTACATAATTATGAATTTTCATACAAATAAATTATTAATCAATGGAATGATTTATGAGTTTCCGAATGAACCAGTCAACACTGGCTAGTCACCACTCAGTAAAACAGCTTCCCCTCAATCCGTATACATTACTGAAACGTCTGTACTAGGAGCCAACATGTCCACAAACACTGAACATTTCTATCCGACATAATCAACCATCGGGACATGCAAAATTAACATAAGAATACATAATACATTATATGGTTGGAGGCAATCGTCAGGAAGCCTTGGACCTAGGTTTTGTGCTAGTTGGCACTCATCATCAGGCTTCCAGCTGACTGCCTCCAACCATATAATACCAACAATTCACAGTGCACAGTGATGGCGAGCCACCTAGAATCCTGGCCACATTACTGGCTTGACTGATAGAAATCAGTCTGCACCGAAGATAGGACTACACAAACACATTACACTACTTACTGACTAGTGTCCAATAGTTCAAATGTGAAAGGGAACATTAGTTTCTTTAGGGTTGCAGATATATACATACTGCTGATGAATGCCAACAAGTGCGAGACTCAGATCCATGGCTTTTTGCTGATTGCCTCCAATAATCTAACAAAACTTGATAAAAGTTAGTAGAAGAGAAAATCTCTGCTTGGAATTAGCGTAGAAATTAGTGAAGAAAATTTTTAGAGGTTGTTACACTTCTAACTACATATAGATCAATAAAGATTTCCCCCAGGTGTTTTATTTAAGTGAATAAAATGACGTCTGAATAAGGGTCTTATCGTCCAAATAATGTAGCTGATGATCAGTAGTTTAGATACTTATTTTGATTTTTTGATTTTTTTTTTTTTTTTTTTGATTTACAGCTTGATTCCACACTGTATTTTTGGTACAAGTATGGAATTTTCAGCATGGATATCGGTAGCCCAAATTTTGCAGGCCGACCATAGATATCAGGTGTGCGCCGGCGTGGGCTCGAACCCCGGACCATGTGCATGATCGGCGAGAGTCCTAACCACTGTGCCACCGACGCACTTGTAACCATTGAATCATAGGGCCGAATGCCATTGAACTTTTCAAGTTATAGGCAGCGCATTAATATGACTAGTTATTACATAATAGGCTGAGCCATTTCTGTGTGTGTGAATGAGTGTTTGACTAGTACTTGGTTTCCAGAAAAGGACTGAAAGTGATAACTGAGAGAAGCGTCTTCTGAATGATTAGCAGATGAATAGTTTTAACAATAATATTCGAGATAAGGATATTAGAAAAAAAACAATGAAAACGCTTAAAAGTGAGATATTTTCTGTTGTCTAGTGCGTTTATATGAAATAACACTCTTCCACTTATATTCTTGTCATTAACGTGAAGCGTGGAGAAAAATAAAACAACAACATTATAAGCTTACCCCATTAATCGTTTTAACTGTCTACCACAGCGTTTAAGAATCTTTGATCTATAAACAGAACTCGAGGGTCGGCTTGCAGATGATTTCCTCCTGCTATGGATGTTGTTTGTAAAAGATTGGAAATTCTGTAGACGACTATTCATTGTATTGCGAAGGGTGTGTGATTTGTCTCGCCCATTCATACAAATATTCTGAGAGTTATTCGAATTCAAGAGAATGACTTGATGTGTAGGTGTTACTAGTGATGGGTTAAGTTCTTCCAAAGTACGCATTTTTATGGTAAATGTAGAATATTGAATAATTTTTTCATAGTAAATGAATATTTACCTGTATGCAAAAAGACAAAAAGTATTTCTGCTATAAGGTGTAGGAATTATGGCCGTGTTTGATAACTACACAGTACAATTGACCAATAGAATTCAGCCAGTCCTAAGGATTATAAATAAAGTGACAACAATTACATTCTAGTTATCAATCACTATATCTTCTAAGGCATTCCAACAGGAAGTCAGCTGAAGTCTGAATAGCTCAATGGAATTACTGAATGACACAGCTCCGAACCTATATGAGGATACCGGTTTCATCAAGGTTGCAGACAAGCCTTCATGAAGTGCCGATAAGTGTGAAACGTAGGTTTCAGACTTCCTGTCAATTGCCTTTAGCTATCTAACAGCCAAACTACACAAACATGTGCATCACAGATATCCCTGTTTAGCGTTAGACGTAATCACCCGACAGCGTTCAAAAGCGGTTATAATAATATCAATTCACTGAATAAATACAGAACTTCCTTCCCTATAATTATTGTCCCACATAGTTGCTTGTGTTATTCAAGAAATTTAATAGATATTATAGTCACAAATAAATAACTATTTAGAATAACAAGGTTAAAATACCGACTGAAGTAAAAAGGAATGTGAGGGGAGATAAAACAGGTAAAACGCAACGCCTAACAATATGAAGTGAATATATGTGCACTCTTTCAAATATTTCTTCATCCTAATTTTTTTCCATTTTTTATTCATATTATTTTTTCTCATCTCTCTCCCTCACTATTACACTTCTGCCCTTTACGACACTGATCTTGACGCTCAATTTTAGTTGAGTTCTGTTCAGTCTTGACAATTACATTACGTCACTCTGTCTACTTAATTTTGTTTCACTTTCTGCATTGCGTAACTGCTATACAAAACTTTCAATTCTAATGACAACTTTACAAAAATTCCTTTCATTGCTATTATATATATATATATATATATATATATATATATATATACGATTGTACAGCTTGAGAATATCGCTGAAAAGAGTAACTTCGCTGAATGCCTTTCCAACTAAATTTGTTTTTTAACTGTCTCAGCGTATATCTTCAAGTACTGCTTCCTAACTCTTAGAAGACTGTAATAAAGTAGCCTGCAATCTCCTGCACAACATAAATCTTTAGTTAATGAAAATATGGATCTCTATCATACTATAATCACTTTACTCAATACTGTGTAGCCTCTGCCAGATAAACCCTATTAACTGACTTCACGCAGTAAAGCTGTTCCTCACAAAAGTAAAATGGCGAATTTGAATGCTTGATGGACATTCACGTCTACCCAGGAGGGCTGGAAAACATTGATTCCAACCCAGTTGTGGACATGGGCTCCTGAAATCGACTGGATAGAATGACGTATGGATCTGGTTTGGTCATCGGAAACCATGGGGATGCAGCCAGTGACACTACTCCACCACAATGTCGGTCGGACTTCAAGTCAAAGGCTCCGGGAATAATCCTTTAAGAAAATCATTTGCTTCGATCTAGTTGCCCGGGTAGTATTCCAGTTGTCACACAAACTTAGATTGTGTGGCACATTTCTAGGCACTAATAATGTTCTCAGTTCGTGTTTTCAATAATAATAATAATTTGGTGAACAATACCAAATAACTTATTTTTGTTGGTATGTGATTCTAACTTGTGAGTAAAGCAGAAAGGATAGATTATCACTCTTCCTGAAATACTTTGTTTACTCTGATTTGAGTACACGTCAGGTTGGAATTGATAAATGCAAAGGAGTGCTGACTGGAACGAAAATTTATTAATAGTGAGTATCGTTACAATCTATTTTGAACTGACTTCCCAGAACTCATTCTAGATGCATTTGAACCCGATAAATAATGGATACAATAAATTCTAAATAATCAGGTTTCTACAACAACCACGAGAGGATAAATTGTATATGTATTATGGAATAGGAAGGCACTGGGGTCATACAATAAGTGATAATATTAGCAATAATAACAACAGGAATTAGTCATTTGGACTTATTCAAGAAATTAGTTTGAAAGAAGACTTAGTGTAAATGTTTCAGGGACAGAGGAGTCGATGGCAATTTTTCAACTTAAAGTCAAACTTTATGTGCAATTATTTAATTTCAGTTGCTTATGACCTAACTGAAACTTGGATGAAAAATTTGATTTATGCCTTCATCTTTTGTAGAAATAAAAGATCATTCAAAACATATCCGACTGATACAGTGACCTAGAACGTTTCACAAAGGTGTATCAGTTCAAATTGCCATTGAAGTACACATAAGTAGAAAAGAGTGAAATGGAATTACAGTGGACAAGGATGTACACGAGAGTAATTGAGTGAAGATAAGTGAACATTCGCAGAATCCGGAAGATGACAAGGAGTGAATACATCCGTGTAATCTTAAACCATTTTTAACCATTTCACTAACAGCCTCCAGCCACTTATCCTTAACATTTCATACACTTCTACACCTCTTTACGTGACTTGGACCAATATTTGATGGATTAATGGATTGGTGCTATGTTTTTGTCCGGCATCTGACTCTTCCAACATAATTACACTTTAGCTAACATTGTTAAACGACAAAGGTGTTGACTCAATATGAGTAAATCATGTCTGGACCATCTCCATCAACGCAGCTTCAGTCTCACCAATTGACTGCATTTCTTTATAACACACTGCAATTAACTTCATTGTAATCACATCGCTTTATATAAAGTGAGAAATTGAGTGAAGTCACCCATGGTCAGTTACATTTAGTCAAGAGACAAAGATGACGCCAGATATACCGATTGGTTCCACACACTTGGAGGCAATAAGCAGGATGTTTTCAAGTAAGTTTCCGTGCTTTTTAGCACACGTTGACAAGGCATATTTACAGCCTTGTTGAACCCATGTCGTCCAGGGCTGTAGTCACATACGCTGACGATTGGCCTCATGTAGGATTGTAATGTATACGTTGACTGGTTATTAACTCTAACTAAAAGGACCATATCATCTGCGTACTTACGCTGAGCTGTACCATGATTAGAATTATATACTTTTCTCGCAATAAGCTAGAGACCAAACGTCAACGAAGGACCTCACAATTGACGAAATTCAATATCTTCAAACAAGGGAACATGACAAGTGTTGGATGCCTGTATGACAAGAATGTGTTAGTATTAGGATCACGTCAGCTCACTCAATCGGATCTGAAAACTACACGGTTTTCTTTCGTTTGTTTCCCAAGTCTTAACTAGTCTTTTTGGAACTATGGACTCAAGGATTTTAGATACAAACTAATGTAAGCAGTTAGCAGGATAACAACTATTATTGTTGATCATGTAGCACCTTGATGTAATTTCTGCACTACAAACATCCACAGGAGATTTTCTTCTCTAAACTGATAGTTTTTGTTAAAAATCAGTTGACTGGAACAGGTTTTTGAGGTAGTAGAAAATGAGGCACGTTTACCGTGTGAGGGCTGGTGATATTGTCTGGTTGCCTAGATTGAAGGTGGAGCGGCACTTGAATTCGGACTTATTCGCTGAAAGTTGAGTGGTAACAGTTTCTAGCTACTCAGATGCAGTTACTCCTTTAAACATAGTCATTGACTATGTTAAAGATCCCTGTACATGATGTGCAGAGCAGCCGTTGAGAATAGGTTTCAGGAGACTTTTAGTAACATAGGAAACAGCTGTACAAATGTATAGACTTCTTATCAAATCCCAGTCGTCGCCATTTCCTACTTAATTATTCCTTCTACACATGCATTCAATATGACTTCACTCTAAGTTCGGTTTGTAATGTTTAGAAGCTTGGCAGTAAGTTAGTAAACCTTCATGTACGGCTCTATGTCAATTCGTTCTCCAACAAATGAACTGTGCAAAAATCAATATACTATAAATTGAATCTGAAGTTATCATAAAACTGTAGAGGGCTACGTAGAGGCTTGAATTAACCTGCTCAACCTCAAATTTTAAGCGGGACAAACTATGAAATTCTGCGGTTTTCGTTGACATGAGCCGTAATAAAGGCCTTAAAAATTGACAAACAATTATTCTTGAAAACTTGGAGACCTCAAAAGTTCTGTGGACAATAGATACCTGAAAGAGTAGGCGAACTGACACCCGTGGTTGGAGCGCAGAGCTTCATGAGAGAGAAATGAATTTTAGTTGGATGTTAGGCTGAAAACAATACAGGATTTACAAGACGTCTCATTCTCCAAGCAAATATATTGATCAGCATTGACTCTGAGTGTACTAAAATAGTTGACGCTTATCACTTAACCCTTACGCCTATATCTGCGCCCAAAGTTTTGATTAAAGTGGCAGTTTTGACCCGGAGTTTCTGTAATGAGTCCGAGGATTTCGCTAGTTTGGTACATTTGCGAACAAAAGTCTTGGCTACTTAAAATGCATGACAATAATGCTAACCTCAAATTATTTGTACAGGGACTATAATTTAAAAGATAGCTGTTTATTACAAAGTCATAGCATATACACCAAACAGAATTAATCCAAAGAGCTAGTAAAAATTTTTAGTTGCATGAGAGAGTCATTTAAAATAGCTAAATTTCATTTAAATAGTACAATTCAATGGAAAATATGAATAAAAGTGGGTGGATTGTGACATAAATCCACAAAGATACTTACAAAGCACTCGAAAGATTAAACCCAAACGACCTTGACGTCAAACAGTTTGAAAGCAGTTTACCTTGATATTTTGAGTAACCAAACAAAGACAGTTTCCAATACTTGGTAGATTCAACAACTGAAGGAAAAGTTGGTAAATTTCTTAGTATCAAATGATAGCTAAGTATTTACCTCCGGGTGGTACAAACTTATGAGCCAGTCAATGTAAAAATGCCACTAAAAGTTTCATAAGTACTTTTAATGTGCTGGTGGAATTTCTAGAATGCTTTTGGGATTGCGAATTCTTACAAACTCTGTAAACGGAATGTATTATTTGTGTGTGATCTGTGCTTAAGACTTTTTTCTTACTCTTCCACGTCAGTATCACTGTTCAACTGGTGAAAATGAATAATGAAAATACTATCAGATTCGAATTTCTTTTGAAGATGGAAAGTTTCAAGTCCGTGTTAATCACTTTTTGACAGTTGCTTTTTCCTGTCTAATTTCTTCTTCAACCAGCTAACTGAGGGCGTCAATACTTCTTCTGATGGTCGGTCCCGAGAATTTATATCTTTGTAGGATTACCAGTACTCAACTGCGATTTAGTTCTGAGTTGGCTTTTGGACTCTCTTACTATTTCTTCTGAGTTTTTCTAACTTTTCGAGAGTATGTGGTATTCTTCTGATGGCGACTTTCTTTGAAATCTAGATCTATGTCTGACTGAACAGACAGGAGCTGTTTTCATTCTCTGTAACATAAGCCGATAATATGGTGCTCGTTGCATGTTGCCACCCATTTCTCTGCTTTTTCAGAGGATCAAAGAAATTCGTTAAATCAACTGAACTCTTAATTATTTCGCTGTCAACTATCAATTTATTTTTATGTGTCGGTTAAATCAGATTACGGACTATTGAACTTTCAGGGTCTAAGAGCGCGTTTGATGCACTGTGGTGTTATTGTTTATGCCAAAATTGTCTTCATAATATAGCTAATTAGTACATCCCCAAACAGCATAGAGTATTACATTCTCCCTTTGGTAGTTGGGATGGTGTCAAGAGCCCTCTGATGAATAGGTTAGGTAGGCCAGACTAAAGAAGCAGCAAGCGGTCTGACCAAAGACTAAGTCTATCATGGTAGATAGCCACACAAAAATCATGAGAGTTATTTGTATTCGAAGGTGATCGGAAATTAGCTTAAAGTCGTTCAAGCAGCCTAACTAATTGGCTTTATAGACTTTACTTCGGAGTATTCATTCTTCATATGAGTCTAACGGTTTGTTGAGATGTTCTTGCAAAGCAAGCACGTCGCTGTCACCGTTCGCTCCGACATTTGACGTCGTTCGCTGAGAGTACAACAGGACTAGCGGTGAGTCCATGTAACTCGTTGACATAAACAATGTATAATAATGGGCTAAGTGCAGCACCCTACACAAAATCATTCAGTACTTATGTCCAGATAGAAGGTTTAGAGTTAATCTTGCCTATTTGTCTGTCACTTATGAAAACTCCTTCATTCCTCCTTTGAGTCCTAAAGCGTCAGATTTCATGAACAGTCTCGTGTAAGGCATTTCATCGGAAGATTTGCGGAAATCTTCCCAGGTGACGTCAGTGGGTTTCTTGTTATGCTAGAATTTGACACAGATATCTACCACTGTAAGGTTTGAAGGTACGAGAGCATGCGCTGGAAATCGTGATATGCTCTAGATAACATGTCGTTTTTGAGATGCCATATTGACACATTTCATGGTTTGTAAATGGAGTTGAAGATTGAACGATCAATTCATGGTTGTTTGCTCAAAATCAACTTCCCCAATTTTCGCGGAGGCATCAATACGACAGTCATCGTCTCATCGGTCGCTGTTCAGAAAGAAGAGTGAAACATCGTCAGAAGTAATACAATGATTTATTATTGTAATATTTGTTTTCAGACCTTAGTTTGCTTAGTTCGCTTATTCCTTTTATATGTTGGTGTAACAATACAGAAATATCAAACGGCAGATCGGTGTTTTGGTTTTTTCGTCCGTTATAACTAAGCGTTTCGAAAATCTTCAAAGAACAGCGTGGGCCCGAGCGTAGCGAGAGCTGGGCATTAACGGTTTATGAGACGTGATTGACAGTTTCTGACGATAGAAACAGATCTGGCGGATTCAAACAGTTGGTGAAAGTTTGGATAGTCACCGTTCATCTTTCCTGGTGCCGGTCAAGTCCTCTTTGAACAAGCAATATCTGGAACTTTTTGGAATTGGGTCAAGTTCAACAATGCCTGGGTCAAAGAAGGGACAGAGTGTCTTGGATGCAAACAGGAAAGTAAGTCATGGTGACTTGTCTGTTAATTGTAACGATGTGTCTGATGTTAAGCATGACATGGTTGATGTTACTGTTTCGCCGTTCAGGGATAATAGGAACATCAAACTCCCTAAATTTGAACCACGGTGTTTTGATGGAAACCCGGCTGATTATTTACAATTTGTAAAGGAGTTTGAGATCATGTTGAGTGGTTTTTTATTAAATGATGAATTGAAGTTAATGTATTTGATGAGATATTGCACTGGAGATGCTGCAAGAGCTATACAGTGCTGTAAGTTTATGAAGCCAAAAGAGGGCTACTACGAGGCTATGAGCATATTACGTCAAAGGTTTGGAAGACCTTCGATGATTGCAGGGAAATTATTCGAGGCTGTTAAGGGTAATGGTGGTCAATTACAGGATGACTCCCAGGCACTCACTGAGTTTTTAGATAATTTGCTAATTTACAAGAATGGAATGATTTCGATGAATCGCATGAGTGACCTCAACTCGAGTTTTATACTAGAAGTAATAGCAAGACGTCTACCTACTCGACTGCAAAGGAAGTGGGTGAAGATGAGCTCCCGTATGGAGGATGAGGGTATCGAGCCAAAGTTTGATGATATCCTGAAACTGGTAAAAGATAGTGTCAATCAATCTATGAGCAAGTTCGCCAGTCTATTACATCTCACCCCTAGAATAGAGCAGTCTGAGATCAAAATGCAATCATTGATGACGAGTAGGCCTCAGAGAGGTGGATATCGAGAAGGCTCCATGATGTCTAGTAATGCATATAGACCTAGTGAGTGTAACAGGTTTCGTAGTACATCCTCAACAGATAAGTTACAAGATGCAAGACAAACACGGTTTTGTTTTACACGTGTGCAAGAGGTGCATACAGAAGTGAACTGTGAACCGGTGAGCAAGTTCAGTGATAAGCTAAATGTAAACTCCAGGCATGACTCCGAATTGTGTGACGATAACGGTTTGGTCAAGAAGTCTGTAGTTGCAACTGGTAAGCCGTTGTTGAATAGAGTGTCACAGAATAGAGTTACTGCTTCAGAGTGGAGTTCTGACTCCACAAGTTTACAAAGTATAACTAGTCAGAGTGAAGTTATAAAACCTTTAATGATTTGTGAGGAGGAACCAAAATTGTCTACTTCTGTTATTAAAGAGTTTGAAAATGATGAAGTTGACGGTAAATTGAATATTCGTGATAATGATCATGATACTTCACAGTTGTCTTTGGTTGATCATTATGAGATGAGGGATATGCCTACTACTGCTAAGTTAAATAAAGGTTCTGTACAACTACAACGTGAAGTAGAATTGAACGCAGATGCAGTTCCAGAAGGTGTGCATACTTGTGAGACAGTCAGTGTAATTGATCAGCGTGTAGCCCACCTATCATCAGATGATAGTGCTAAACCCGAACTAGTAGTGAAAGACAGCAGTGGTGGTAATCTTGCAGTTGGACAACTATCTGAGAGCCGAAAAAGAACAGCTTCTGATCCACCACTAAGTTCATCACCTTGTGTCACTCAGTCATCGTTGGTGTTTTCATCCACAATGAAACAGACACCCATCAACTCAAGTATCTTGTGCAATGACTATGGTAGTATCAGTTCGTTTGAAAGGACGAATATCAATGGTCAGTTTAGTGTGGATAAGCCAAGTGTAAAGGAGAGAGTTATTGTTAAATTGACTTGCACGAATAAAGGCATTTCTAGTTTCAAGTTACTATTTGAATGTTATTATCTTTGGTGTAAATTACTCTGTTTCTATACTTGGTTGATGAGATATGTCGTGTGTTTGTTGGTCATCTATATTCTACGATACAATGACATGGGCGTGTTGCCGTTCAGATTTGAGGATATAGCTGATAGAAGGAAGTTAGCAAATGAACTCTGCGACGATTTTCCAACCTAGGGCGTCAACCTGAGAAGGGTTGTAGGCGTACTGCTGTAAGTCCTACAGTTCTTCAAAGGGTAGCGCATCAATGAGCAGTCCAATGTGCTTGGTGTATGATCTTGTACATATGTTCATATTGTATATACTGAATTGATATCATCTGTCATCTAGCTGTTGGTAATTCTGTTTGTGTCCGGACGACTTCCACTTGGATCATCAACCTGAGAAGGAATGTAGGCGTACTGCTGTAAGTCCTACAGTTCTTCAAGGGTAGTTTGTCGTGCCAGAATCCACAACATTTGATGTGTTGATTGTACATATGTTTGTGTTAAATAGTTGTGTGAGTTCCAATTGATGTAATTGTTGGTTAATCTTGTTTGTGTCTGGACATTCCACAACTTACAATCGTCAACCTGTGAAGGGTTGTAGGCGTACTGGTGTAAGTCCTGCAATTCTTCAAAGGAATTCCATCAAGACATGATCTGCGAGTTTGTGTGTACTGTTTGTATATACGTGTGGTGTGTCATATCAATTGGTGTATTTTGGATTCATTGTGTTTACTTGTTGTTTTCGTGTCTTGTTGTTATTGCGTAATTTTGTTAAAATTTTCGTCGTGATTACTTCTGAAGTTGTTTCGAGTCTTCTACATCCATGAATGAATTGATTGATGTTAGAGACAGCAGATGGGTCGTATACGCCGGGGAGGCTAGGCTATTGCTGAGAATGAAATGCACACGGAGATAATTGTTAGCTGCGGTCCGACACGCCGGGGAGAAAGAGTGTAAACGACTGAGGCTCGCATGCGTCACCGCTACTAGAACTGAGGCAGAATGAGTGACAAGCGATTTCAGTGGTAATTGGTAGTGAGTAATTAAGAGGATGTGCGTAGAGTATCGTGAGGTGCTGCCATGGTCACTTTGCATTCTGCAAGAGTCATTCTAGCAAGTGGCGATTGTGTTGCAAGATGTCAAGAGGAGGTCTCTGTCTGGAGGCGCAGGTCGTCATTGATGTGTGAGATTGTGCTGTGGGTATGCTTGTGGTGTGTTGGCTTTTCTGTTTGTTTTCCATTTCAGCTCTGTCCGTGTGACCCAGGTTCTCGCAATGGCATCCAAGTCAACGTGCATTGGTCGTGAAGGAAAAAAGGGTTGGATCCCTTTTTTGCCGGGGAGTGTCAATGGAGTTGAAGATTGAACGATCAATTCTTGGTTGTTTGCTCAAAATCAACTTCCCCAATTTTCGCGGAGGCATCAATACGACAGTCATCGTCTCATCGGTCGCTGTTCAGAAAGAAGAGTGAAACATCGTCAGAAGTAATACAATGATTTATTATTGTAATATTTGTTTTCAGACCTTAGTTTGCTTAGTTCGCTTATTCCTTTTATATGTTGGTGTAACAATACAGAAATATCAAACGGCAGATCGGTGTTTTGGTTTTTTCGTCCGTTATAACTAAGCGTTTCGAAAATCTTCAAAGAACAGCGTGGGCCCGAGCGTAGCGAGAGCTGGGCATTAACGGTTTATGAGACGTGATTGACAAATGCCTTTATTCATGCAAGTCAATTTAACAATCACTCTCTCGTTTACACTT